TTTTGCATTTTCTACGAATTTTTAAAATTTTGTCAAAAAAAATATATTTATTTGGAAAAATTTTTTTAAACCTGTAGTTTCCGTAATTTTTAATTTATTTAGTTACTGCTGAGGTTATTTTTCTCCATTTTGTGTACTTTTTCAAAATTTTTCAATACAATTGATAAATATTGATAAACGGTAACAATAACACGATTTTATGAAAAAACAAAAACAATTTTTTCACAAAAAGGCCACCTTCTTTTTTCCTCAAATTTCGTTTGGTATTTTTTCGTTTCTTAAGAAAAACCAATTTTTTTAGAACCTCGTAAATACTACAACTTTTAAGGTTTCTAGTTTGTTCCTGGAATGAGTTTTTTAAATTTTAAATTAAAGAATTTTTATAAATAGCAATAATACTTAACTTTTTTAAAGAAATAAACAAAAATTTCTACTCAAAAAATACACGTATTTTCTTCAAATTTTTAGGTTTATACTTAGTCCTACAATTTTCGTTTGGTGTTTTAATAATACCTATTTACAAAAAAAAGTTACAAAACTACTTACCCGAAAATCTCCTGCTTTGTAACTAAAATTTTACTACCAGTTTTTAAATCTTGGAAGGACTTTGTCAGGACTCGAAACGTTCCAGTTTGTCGATAAATTTCGATAATTTGGTATATATCGATACCGCGATAAATTTGCGGAAATTCAATAAAATCTCGCTTTTCGAGTACTCGACGGAACTCGATAACTTAGAAATTTACGTACATATCTCGATATAAATCGATAACTCGATAAACTTTGGATAACTCTGTAAATTTCGGTAACTCGATTAATTTTGTAGCTCCATACATTTCGGTATCCATCGATAAATATTTATAACTGAATAAAAATCGATGACGTAATAAGTTCCATTAACTTGACAAATCTCGATAATATAATGAATTTGCATAACTCGTTAACTATCGGTAAATTTCGACAACTAAGTATCTGTGTCTCTATAATTTTCGACATTTCGTAACCCAATAAACATGGCTAACTCGATTAATTTCGCTAACTATAAACTTCGATGGCTCGAAAAATTTCTATAGCTTGATAACTGAATTTTTGATGACTGGATTTTTTCGCTTCTTATAAGAAATCTCAATGAAATTCCGTATTTCTTATGTATTTCCCATTGCTTTTATTTTCGTCTTTATCTTCAATCGTTCCTTCACTTTTTTATGAATTATTTCTTCGTCATCATATTTATGTATCTTATTGCCCCAGTTTGTAATGATAAGGAAGAGAAGGCCTCAGTATCAGGAAAAGTTTCGGTCGATTCCAAAACATTTTCGCATGTTGCATTTTTACGAAATTCACTTTTTGATGCAAGTTTGTTTTACAACCCATAAGGCATCAGCTGTTAAAATATTAAATCCGAATAGTTACCCCAAAAATTTACTGTAAATTTTATCCTATGTGACAATGAATTTTTGCTTGTGTGTGAGATTGGAACGATGAGCTGTATGAGCTTTACAACGATATGGACATAGTGCAGCGAATTAAAATACAGCGGCTCCGCTGGCTTGGTCATGTCGTTCGAATGGACACCGACGCTCCAGCTCTGAAAGTATTCAACTCGGAACCCGCTGGTGGTAGCAGAGGAAGAGGGAGGCCCCCACTGCGATGGAAAGATCAGGTGGAGAAGGACTTGGCTTCACTTGGCGTTTCCAATTGGCGTCAGTTGGCACAGAGGAGAAACGACTGNGATTATCATATGTGCCAAGAAATTAGATTGTAGAGACCTTTCCGCAAAAAAAATATTGCGTTTAATTATATTTCTCAATCATCTGAGGAAATCAAAACTTTGGTAAAAAAAAAAAAATATGTAATAAAATAATAAATCCACAGAAAAAATTTCTTCCCAAACAAATTTGTTTAAGTAATTTTATATTTGGTTATTATTTTCTCAAAAAAAAAGTATTTTCTCTACATATCTTATGTTTTTTTTTTGTAAAAAATATTTTTTCACAAAATATGAACTCATAAAAAAAGTATGATATTATTTTTGATTCTTATAAGATACCAAAAATAATTGTTACCGAGGGAATAATTTGTACCGCAGATGTATTTATTTTCCCAAAAATTTTGAATTTGTTTTAATGCATATTTATTGCCTAACCACAGTTTTTTTCTAAATTACGGGTATGTACTTTTGTATATTTTTTTCTGAAAAAAATTTCTTAGACATTGTTTTCATAAAAAATTCCACCTAAAAAACTCTCTTACATTCCTTGAATAAATATTCTTTCCAATTTTTTTTTTAAATCGTGTTTTTAAATTTCGTGTTAAAAATACTTAGGCAAATGAATATGAGGCACATTTCATAAACGGAAAATAAACACATAACTACTAGAAACTTTTGGGAAAAATGTTTCCCAGAATCCTGAAAGGTTTAACCCAGCGTCTGCAAATCAATTGCTCTAGGCCTTCACTAGTTTACAGCAAACATTTTTTATGGGTGCCACTATCCAATTCCTATGTAGACTTGGTCGATGATTTCGAGATATTTTCAATTTGCCGTTATTCAACTAAGAAAATAGTAAAAACGAGAGCTAATAAAATTCTCTACAAACCGTATGCAATCATTTTTGTTTCTTTGATGAATTCTTAAGAGGGGAAAGAATTATAAAAGTTGCAGTTTCTGTGTCATATTTTTTTTATTTGTGATAAAGTTTTTTTATTTGTATCGGCCTCTGCCATGAAAACCAGCTTCTCATAAAAATACAATCGCCGTTCAAAGTAAGCGTAAAACTGTAGGTCCCTCCCCTCTGTGCGACAACATCAAGGCGCACGCCACAAATCGGAGGAGAAGCTCGGCCAAACACTAACATATGCGTAAGTGCCAATTTATTATTATTATTGTTATCAGGCCTATCGAAAAGTGATGAATATATCGAGCCCTAACCGCCAAAATAACGTAAGCGAAATTTTTTTCAAAATTTTATTTTTGATTCAGAAATGCATCTTGATGCTATAGGAATATTTCTGCATCAAAAAGAAAATTTTGAAAAAAATGTCGCTTACGTTATTTTGGCGGTTAGGGCTCGATATGGTTTATGGAAAATTTTGTTAGCTTTCATTTGCCGAATTTCATATTAAAATTGTTTAACTAATTAAACAAAACAGCTGATACGAATATCGGTTGTGCCTATTTTCGAAAACTGTAAATGAAGTCGGTTTCATAACACCATTTCAAACCGATATCGGTTTCGAATTTTGGCAATTTGCAATTTCGAAATTTTTTATTTTTTTTGTAACAGCTCTGATTAATGTTGCGTCCTTTTGAAAAGCAGTCAATAAATTAAACAACCTACAACACATTTGTTTCACAATGTCTTTCATTTTATTTAAACTTTAGTTTCATTGTTTATTGTAATGTTTTTCGTTGCATTCTTTAACTATTTACGTCAGCCAAGAGAGATTCGATTCTTGGCAAAGCGTTACAAAAACATATATATACTTAAATTCAATTCAATACATTTGTGGCTTGCTCGAGAGTTTATAAGATTTTTTATATGTCAGTAAAACTCAGTTATGCTAGCTTACATACATAAATAACTATTCTTCGTTTCATTAACTTTTTCATATGTTATTTTTATACTCATTTTATTGCTTTAAAAAAAGTTATCATTCATAAATTAATTTTTTTAAATCTTTGTTGCATACTTTTACGAGCACTTCAGCTTAAATTTTTTGTTATTGGAATCAATGATCGACTTTTTATTTATAACTTTACACTCACTTAAACCTAACCATATTCATTTTTGTTAATAACTTTATTTCTATTACTTCATTTTTACAATCAGTTATACATTTCTCGTCTTAAGGGCTGTCTGCAGCTCTCAAGAAAAACTTAAAATAAATGGAAAAGAAATTTTCTGCTATCAAAATTTCTTAAATCAGTAATTAGTAGTATATTTATTTCTTCAAGAAAAATTTACAGCAACAGCAAAGTACTTATTCTATGTCAATAACGTTCCCACAAAAGCGCCAAACGGGAATAAAAGTATTGAGAGAAGTTTGAACGGGAACAAAATGAGAACAAACGGTTCGGGAACGTTTCCGACCAGAACAAAATGTGAACAAAACTCTCGGTAACGTTCTCAAGAAGAACAGAATGAGAACGAAACCTTCGGGTACGTGAGAAAAAAAGAATAAGAACACAAGTATCGAAAACGTTTTCACAGAGGATCAAATAAGATCAAGAGTCTGGGGAACGTTCTGCTAGAAAACAAAACGTGAACAAAATTATCAAGAACTTAACGTTAAGAATGGGAGGTACATGTGCATGTTGGGGTGAAAAGTGGTTTCAGTAAGAACCCTGATTTTTAATTCTAAGCCAGAGGAAAGAAAGCTGGATCTTTTCAAATTGCAGATCGTTTATCATTATGTAGCGTTATCTGTGCAAGAAAAATTCGTGTCTTAAGTCTTTGGTTGACTTTATTTATTTGCATAACTATCTCGCAGTTATTTTTTGATTAATTTTAATATGCCAGTATTTCAAACTAATGGAACGCTATGAGAAAAATTTTGTTCTCGCTTCCTTTCTTCACGAATAGTTCAGAAAAGATGTGTGCCCGTTTCGTGCTCTGTCGGAAAGTTCTTCGAGACTTTGGTTTCCACAATTGTTCTTCGAGAGAAAGTTCTTTTTGTTTGTTTCTTTGTTCTTTTACAAAACATTTCGAAGACTTGGTTCCCATTTGGTTCTCTCACAAATGATCCCGAAAGTATTGTTCGCATTTTGTTCTCTTTGGAAACGTTCCACAGAGTTTTGTTCTTATATAATTCCCATTGAGAACGTTCTCGACAGTTTTGTTCTCATTTCGGTTTTGATTTTGAAGCGTTCTTGGCAACAAAATAATGAAAAATATTTCTTTTGAATTTTCTTAGGGACTACAGACAGCCCTTCAGGATAAGCGATTTTTTACTTCTTATGCATACATATGCATGTAGTTAGATTTACATATTTTTTATTTGTGGGCGCTCGCGCCAAACATAAATATTCGTTACAGAATTTTTCAAAAAATATTTCTTATCTTTACTTTAAATATTTATGTATTCGTGTTAGTCGTTTAATTAATCTGCACTTCCTTCGTTAAAGCTAATACAAAATATCAATTCATTAATTTTAGTTCAATTACTATTTACAATTTTTTCATATTTTTCTCAACATATATTTAAGTGGTTGTATATTTTAATTGTTCTTACTCAAAAAAAAAAAAAAAACAAATTAAAATAAAGTACTATACGACAAATATTGTATTAAACACAATTTGGAATTGTCTAAGTGTTTTGTTTTGTTTTTTCACTACTACAACTACAAGTACTAAATATTTTAAATGTCTCGTTAACACTACGCTACTACAGTAACTACAAATTATTTTATAACGAATTTGTCTTGGGTACGGAAAAGTCTTTTGTTGTATATTCATATATGTATGTATGTATGTCTTTCTTATTTATTTATTAACGCAGTGCCTTCCGCCTCACAGCTCCGTGGAGTACTCCTGCGGATTCACGGTGAACTTCCGCCAGCAGATGTGATCCGCGCTGCCATTCGTATTTGGTGGTGGTAATTTGCCACCTAATCCTCCACCTCCACCCCCACCATGTCCGCCATGCACTCCACCACCGCCTACGCTCACGACCGAATGACGATTCTGTTCGGCCATGCTGGTGCTGGAGGAGCGCTTAACATGCGCTGTACCATTTCCACTCAGCCGACCCATCGGGTTGCGCATGCCCCCATTGGCTGTGATTGCATTTGTGCTGCCATACGTAATGGACTCATTGGACGGTGTTATCTCGATGCGTGTCGCATGGCGGCCATCCTCCGATAGTCTTCGTATATAGACAATCTCGCGATGCTTCTCCACGTGCATGGATGGCGGACGCATGGCGTGCACATGACTTGGTGGCGGCGGTGGTGGCGGTGAGGGCAAAGGCAACTCTTCATGCTCATGCAGCTGCTGCTGCGGCTGCTGCTGCTGCTGGTGTTGCTGTCTTTGCTGCTCTCTATGCTGATGCTGTTGTTGTTGCGCGCTAGTGCGTTGTTGCGGCTGTGCACGCGAGCGATTTGAATAGCGTAACGGCTTTCCATCGCTGTTCTGGAAGGGCATGAACTGTTGTGCCACACCCGGAAACTTATCTACGCTAATATCCTCTTCGATCGCTGAATCACCAAACATGGAGCCACTGTAGTTGGGCGAACTGTTGCCAGTTGTTGACTGCTTCCAATTCTGCTGTGTGACATGTCCGTTGGCATATTTTGAGTTTGAGGCGTTCGAGTACTGACCCTTCTTGATGGAGTGCGTGTAGTCGCGTGTGCCACGGCGGCGTAGCGTGAAATCACGGCGTCCAGTATCTTGGCACACCGAACGCCATTGCTTCCAGGCATGACGCGCCAGCGGATCAGTGGGTCCCCACTCCTTTGCCGCCTTCGATGCCTCGCAGATCATCCCAAAGAAATTATACTCCACTTGTCGGAATATTTGCACGCAAGCAATGAGGAAGATGACGGCTAATGCGAGTAAAATGGGCGCCCAACGTGGCACATACTCGGCCAAGAGGTCGTACTGATCGTCGTCGGAACACCACCACACCAGCAAGGCGGTGAGTATAGCTGGGCAAATGCACCACAGCCACATCCAAACCTTGAATATCGGTCGCCCAATTGAGAATTCTAAATCGGTGTAGATATTCTTGGCGCCATAAATCCAACAGACAGCAATCAATTCGAAGACGAGCGCAGTAATTAAGATTGTGCCGACGATACGCGTATCCAAAATGCGCGCTATGATAAATTTCGGCGCTGCCAACGATATGATAGTCATGACAAGCGCCACCAAGCTGATGACGTAGTTGGGATGGCGTGGCACCAACCGTGTGACTGTGTAGATGGCGACCGTGATAGCGATGATGGCGGAAATGACAATCAAAGCAAAGATTAGTACGGGTATGATGCGTGCGATGAGCTCATTGCTTGGCCGATCGTACAAAATGCGATCGTAGACAGCGGTTTGTGGTTTGAGTTCCTCAATCATGGAGCCGCTATTGGCAGAGAGATCAAACTGTACCATAAAGAGTGTGACGGCTATTGCATTGATGAGCAAATTGAAGCAAAGGTACACGATCGAAGTGCGTACGGCATCACCTTTGTAGAGGAATTTGCCGGTGACAGCTGGTAGAGCGCCAAAACCGCAATTCGTGGCGAAGAGTACCTGCATTAACGCGTTGAACCAAATGTTGGAGTCCACCAAGAGGGACGAGTCAAATGGCCATAGCTCAGGAAAGTAGGACCGCTGGAACGAATTGTGCACTTCCCAGCCTGTGACGCAGCATAGCAGCAGAAAGCCCAGTATGCCGAAGATGAAGAGACTGCGGCGCAAAATGCGGCCATTGTGGGTGCTGAGTAGGAAAAAGAGAAAAAGTATTGTTAGTGTTAAGAAAAGATTAACTTCAAAAAAGTATGCTTTTTTTTAAATATTTATGTATGAAATATATGTAAATATGTACTACTTCATATAATTACAAATATTAAATATTTTATTTATTTTAATTTCATTGGTGCTGCGATAATGTGTCATTTCTGTAAATCTTATCGACATTTTTATCGAAATTATAGTATAACCTACATGTCTATTGAAATTTGTATCGAAATTGTCATCAAACCTATATTTATCGTTCATTCGTATGGTATTTGTTTACCGTTATTCATCGATATAAATGCATAAATAATTATCGATTTATTTATCTAACTCATTCGCCATTATTTTACTGTTTGTACTTATCCTTGATGTACTTGATTATGTAAATTGTTTTTGGCATATTCATCTGTAGATATCCACATACATTTATCGATATACGTGCACACATAATTTTCGATATTTATGTTACATTTATAAAGTTATATTACGCGTGTGTTTACTGCAGTCGTTATCGAAATCGCAGTCGAATTCTTTTTTACCGTTGATGTTACAGATATTATTGGGCAGGGCATCTAGTGGCGCAGCTGGATGGTTCCAGTGGATGCAGCATCGATTACTGACACTTACTGACACTATTAACAATATATTTATCGATATTACCCACCACATTTCGATACCGAAATTCATATTAATAATTTTTCAAATGTTTATCGAAACCATGATTGGCATATTGATCGATATCTTCTTCGAAATTGTAATCCAAGTTTTTTTTCATATTTTTGATAATACTCGTATAAAAATACACAAGTCATATTTTTGTATTTGAGATTAGCAGTGTTATCGCAACTTCGTTATAAATTCGTAGCCAAAACTTTAACTTCACGTCGGCAACGATTATCGCTATCCAACAGCAAACACTTTTACACTTTAAACTATACATTAGGGTGTAGCGAAAAAATACATTTTTTGATTTCGAGCTTTAGAGTTCCGAAAAATCTCCCAAATTGTTGTTTATTTATACTTCTTAGTATAATAAAAAGCTAGTTTCAAGTTTTTAAGGAATCTTGTTAATTTTTGCAAATTATTATTATTTTATTTTTTCGTTGACGTAGTGCACCGAAAAATAAAATGTAATAAAATCATTGCTTAATGGTCGTGTACGCATTTTTAAATAAAAATTACGACCCTGCAAATAATACTTCACTAAAAAACTGTCCAAAGTAAAAAAAAAATTCCCAAAATTATGTAACTACCTAATTATTAACCGCCTTCAAAAAAAGGAGGAGGTTATCAATTCGTCGGAATATATATATATATATTTTTTTTATGTATGTTACCGCATAACTTTCGACCACATCAACGGATTTTTTTTCTTCGATTTTTTTTACTCTTTTTGCATTTTGTTAAGAAAATTAACGGTACTCCTAAATTTTTACATGAGATTGGAAGTCGGTTTTTTTTGCTTAAAAATTACTTTTTAAATAGTACATATGTACATATGTATAGCTTAAATTTCACTGCGATAAATACTTAGAAGGAAAATAAGATACGTGTCCTGCGTTACAGGTTCCACGACTTTTAGGAGTTTTTAGTAACATTGTCCAGTGTAATAGACGCTGAATAACGGTAAAACTACGAATTTTCTAAAATTTTTGATTTCATTTTTGAAATGAACGACCCAAAATTAGCCGGTATACATACATATGTATGTAAGTATTTTAAAATTTTTTAGATTCACCGCCTGATTTTTGTACTGAAAGTGTTAAGAAAGTTTTAGTTTAAATGTAGGAAATTAGATGCCTTTATCCGTGGAACGGCGCACATTTCCAGTGATAATTGCATTTGCGATTATGAATAATAAAGCTCTTGGACAGACATTTTGCGAAGTTCGACTATACCTTAAAGATTACTGATTTACTCACGTCCCACTGTACGCAGCTATGAGTAGAGTCATCTTCAATATTTTAAAAACTAAGTTGGGCTCTCAGGTTTCTAGCAATACAAGATTAAATGTTGTTTTTCACGAAGTTATTTAAACAAAATTTTTACCATTTCGGCCCCTTAAATGCGGCCTTGCCTGCGATTTTTCATGGTTCTATGTGATCATGTTAGTAGACTTTTTGGCACTATTGAAATTTCGAAATCGAATTTTTTTTCCTTTTCACTCCACCCTATTGTTGTACATACAAACACATGTACATACACACTTACATATGTATGCGCACAAGAAATTTTGTTCTATGTTTTCAATAAATAATTTCATTTTTTGTTACTTGTCGACGAATTATGGCTCATGATGTCAGTTTAAGACATAAATTTATGTCAAACAAGAATTCCAAACAAGTTTGTAATTAAAGTGCTATTAATAATACAACATTTCTGTATGTAAATATATATTTGCTTGTATGTGAATTAGGTAAATGCATAGTTTCGTATTTCATTTGACTAGCAAAATAAAAAATAATCAGTCAAATACATAAAACAATAACTAAAGTTAAAACAAAAATGACATAGCGACAAATCCTATGTACGCATGCGTGCGAAAAAAATGAATCTATAGAAGAATTTGAAATGAAAATAATAGTTGCGGAATTGAAGAATATAATGAAATTATTAGCTGGGAACACCGAATTAATAATAATTATGCGGATATTCATTTACCAAAATATGTAAATGATATTTACAAACATACATATATATACATACATATGTATGTATATATATTAAGGTGGGCCTTAAAAATTAAATGAACGATTTTTTTAGTCTCACCCCCTCAATCGGTTATACCATGGTCACAGATATCACATATAAATTTTAGTCTCGATTGGAGACGGTTAAGGCGTGTCACAAAGGTGACCATGGCCAGATGCCTCTATCGACACAATCGAAATTAAAAAAAAAAAAAAAAAATTTCATTTAATACCCTAAATCGATACTACTAAAGTCGAGGATATCACGTATAAATTTTGGTTTGATTGGAGTTGGTTAAGACGTCTTCCTAGGGTAATCTGAACATTGATCCCTGTAGGACACGCCTTAACAGACTTCAATCGGGACCAAAACTTGTATGTGATATCTTCGACTATGGGAGTATCGATTTTAGGTATTAGAAGAAAAAAAGTTAAATTTAATTTTTTTAGTCTCTATAGAGGAATGTGAACTTTTCCCACTGTGCGACACGCCCTAACCGTCTCCAATCGGGACCAAAATTTATATGTGTTATCTTTGACTACAGTAGCATCGACGTAGGGGTTGAGGTTTAGGAAATCTGATGTCAAAGTTTGTTAGTACATTTAAGGGCCACCCTAATGTATATACATAGGTGAATTTGCTGTTTCGTGTAATCCAATGCGGAAAGGTGCGAAAGCTTTAGAGCTTAAAATAAATATAAATTTTTTTTTTTTATGTACATATTTTGACATGTAACCGAGAACCAAATTATAAACATAAATTTACATTTGTGCCTAATTATTATATTTTGTTCATCACCATGTGCTTTAGAGCTAATTTTATATTATTAATCAAAGGCAACTAAAATTCATGAGAGTTACATTTGAAGGGCAAATTTTGAAAAAAAAAAAAGATTTTAAATAGCGAAGTAAAAAATCACTACAACTACCGAAGAACCCTTCTACACTAATGAGTACTGAAAAGGGATATTTGTTTTCATAAGATATAACCTAAAGCAAAGAAAACGGTTACACGAGGTAACCCTCAGGCTCTCAGTGTGTAGTAACTACTATCTCCTCAAAACGAATTATTGCTTCTTAACACCTCGAAAGTCATTAAAGTATATAGTTTCGTACGCAGAAAGCCTAGTCGTAGTTCGATCCGAAGTTCCTCTCGACAGTCAGTGAGCTACTACAATCTACATTTAACGATCTGGTAAGGTGTGCAAATAGGAACGGTGTGGGATTTAATTCCTCCAAAACTAAACTAGTTCTATTCACGAAACAATATAAGACACCCGACTAAAGCGGCGATAGAGACACACACGACAAGGGCCGCAGCTAAAAGCGCTCTGAAGCCAGGGCCTTTAACAGTCGTCAAACAATTAACAGGGACCATACTTCAACTTTAGAGAGAATCGCCAGAAATGTATGATAACTTTATTTCACAGATGGCTCCGAAATAAACATTGAAATAGGATCTGGCAAATTTTCTCAGGAATTGACTTTGAGAAAGGCCTGCGTGATTACTGCAGGTTTTGTTTTTAATCATATGTTATTTTGACACTCTCGCTGCAAAACTTGGTAGAAGGTAAATATAATATCTCCGCGAAATTAAATTAATCGTTTTATGCTTGAAAAACGTCGAGAAATAATGCCAACGAAATCGACAACGAGTTTGCTCGAAAGCCATATTTCCTGACCAAGCGCATTTTCATCTCGGTGGTTACACTAACAACCAACACTGGGGATTGGAAAGCCCGTACGTGATCGTCGAGGAGAGAGTGACAGTTTGGAGCGGTGGCATCATTTGCTCATTTTTCCTTGGAAATGCTGCTGAAAACGCCATTTTGGCCAATATGAGCACTACAGAGGAATTATAAACGATTATTTGTGATATATGTGCTATATTTTTGCCATGTGAAATCTGCTGGTCACACTTGGCAATCCAATCGTCGTGTGCTGACAGAAGCATGGGAGTGAGTGGGGTGAGGCAAAGATCTAGAATAGTGTTGGCCTGCGAAAGCTTTGACACGCGTGCCTATGAAGTGGCCATAATTGATCTAGAACGTTGGTGGACACCGGCCTGTATTCAAAGCTTGAAAGAGCTTTGCCCGCGGGCAAGCTGATGCCCACCTGTAATCTAGAAGCACAAGTCCCCAGTATGGTACCCACCATTACCTTCGCTGAGGCGATATTATAATGTGAGATTTCGAGAGGTTGCTTTTTAAGCTGAGAGGAGGGCACGCACTGATGAGTATAGGGCCCAAAGTTTGAAAACTTGAATGTGATCGGCTTGGATGAAGACCACATTTACTATCCCGGTTTTGAAGAAGATGAGCTTTCGGAACACTTTTTGTACAACTGTTTCGCCTTGCTACAATTATAAAAGAGCATTTTAAATGAAATATATTTAAAGCCTGGCATTTGAACTCTAAAATAGTTAAAAAGGGCCACGAAGGTATTACAATGGACGGTATTTGCTTGAGTTGGATTTTTTTGTTTCACTTTAAAGATTAGTTCACTTCTAGTTCCTTCATCTTAATGAACTAGTTCTTCTGAATCTTAGTTCGTTCATCTTATTGAAGTATAGTTCACCTAATTGGACTAGATCGCTAGTAGGAGCTGAGTTACACAACAACAAAAGATGTATGTTTTATAACATATACATATAAAATATTGAATAAATCTGTAAAGTAAATAAGTTAATAGTAAAAACAAATATTTGCAAAGCAATATTTCTAAATATGAACGAGATCGGACCATAATTACTGCCTTACCAAATATATCGCCTCGTGCGGCAACTATCGGCAAATGTTTTAGTGGAGTTATTTATTTTCATGTAGTTATATACCTTCTAAATATGAACAGTGTCGGACTATAAATACGGGGTTTTTAAATATCTCGACTACCGCGCCACCTATCGGATTAACTCATTGTTATTATGAAGTCTCATGTATCCAGGTCAACGGGAAGATGGTCAAAAATTGATCGCAAGATTTTCCCCCAACAAACATACTTACATACATACATACAGAGCAAGTTGAATAAAAGCTTGTGAAAACGAATTTCGTATTCATTTATTCGTTTTTATCCAAAATCACGGAAGGATATTTGGCGACTCAAATTTCCATGGGAGCCATCGGCAAAGCTTATGGAACCTCGGCAGTGCCTGCATTTCATTTTCTTGTCTTCTTGACCAAATTGCGCTTCGCTTTGCATCGCGAAAGTCTTTTGTTAGACAACAAATTCCAAAAACTTAACTAAAATATTTACTTTTTTATACAAATAGCACCAAACGATGTAAAACATGGGAAATTCAATGAAATCAAATGTCTTTTTAGCGTGAATTCCGATCAGTTGTTTCTCTATGCCCTTTCAAACGAAAAACGAGATCCATTTTTATTGAAGTGTTGGCACAGAAAAGTTTAGTTCACTTCAATGAACGAACTAATGAACTAGTTCAATTAAATGAGCTGGCTCTTTCGCTCGTCAGTTCAAAAGCTTTCCAAGCCTAGTATTTACTCAATACTTTTTACTCTAAGTGCTGATCTCAGCACGCGTATTTACACTTATTTTAATAAGAGAATATTTGAAATAATATTTTTTTTTAATATTTTAATAAGAGAATATTTGAAACAAATAAGCGCATTTTTTTTCAAACAAATGAGATCTTATTAAGGATGCTTTCTTTAACCTTCGACAAAGCCTTCGTAGTTAATAGCAAGTGTGAATGACCCTATCTACAAACTTTTATAGCTGACCTTCAATCCAAAATGTATAGCACAAGTGATACAGTTAAACTATTAATCAATAACATCTGCATTTCGTATATAAATACATAGTTTGCAATACTAACCACAACATCACCACAATCCAAAGGCCGATCAATCCAACAGCCAGCATGCCAAAGTACATTGGATTCTCCCAGAATGGTGTTAAAAAGGTGCGCTGCAAACATTCTTGACCGCTGTTGCCGATCACTGTGTAGCCATTCTAATTGATTTTATAGAAGAAAAAAAAAATCAAAGAACGAAAAAAAAGAAAATGGAAACAAAAAATCATTAACCACAAACGAGTACATATAACCGTAATAAAAATCCAATAAATAAATATCTATGCGATTTACTCGTAGTAAATCAATTATTGCTGCAGCCACAAAACGTTTTACTATTCGCACAATTAGTCACGGCAGCAGCAGCAGCAACAAACAACAACAACAACAGCATGCCAGCAACATGCCAGCCAATAATATAACAAAAAAACACTGCAACAAACAACAACTTACCAGCGCCAACTTCACATTGCCCACACACTCCCGAAATGGCAGGGTGTTGAAGATGAACATGCCAATGTAGGCCACCGCCAAGACCGCTTGCAGTGATACCCAAATCGTCGACAGCCATGACGCGAATCGACTAATTATGCAGGCACCTGTGGAATAGCAGAGAAGTGTGATGGCATGGTGAGAAAATAAGCTTAACAACAACGTGGTTTATATTGAATATGGATGTGTAGCTTTTTAGTTAATTGCTTTTATTTTAATTTATATTTAATAAGAAGCATTTATAATGATTAGCATGTATGTAGATTGATATGTCCATAACATTTATAGATGCATATATATTGCCAAATTCACAGTTACTAGTTATCCACTGACAAGAGCTTAAGTATCGAGTTTGATATTCACAATGCTCAGTTAACAAAAGTTTAAGCCAGCATGCCCCGCAGTGGTACAACCCCATAATTTTTTTTGTAAAAAATTATAATGAATCGACGTAGAAGCTCAATTTTCCGTATTTAATATTTATGGACATAAATCAAAAAAATAAAATAAAAATGGCGTAATCAAATTAATTTAATCTATTAATTAATTAATTCTCATATAAACCTAACCTCAAAAACGTCTTAAAAATGCAATAAAAAGTGCACCGATGCATATATGAGTTCGATATTTTGTCTATACGTTTGTAATAACGTGGTTTATGAATTCCAAAAAAAATGGACTTAATCGGTTTATTTTAAAGCATACTTCCCATACAAACCTAACCTCAAAATTCCTTAAAATAGCCTAAAAACACATCAATGAATATATGGCTCCGAAATTTGGTCCATATATTTTTAATAACGTTGTGTATGAACCCTCAAAAGTTGGGCATAATCGGTTTATTTCAAAACATACCACTCATACAATCCTAACCTCAAAAATACCTTAAAAAGGCCGTAAAAAGCGGACCAATGAAAAATTTGAAAGTATTTTGTGATTATTTGTAGTATTGTTTTTTTTGCGATTTCTAGTGCCTTTTTCTGTCTATTTCGCTATTTTATTTTGCCTTTTTTTATACGTTTTTAGGTCCTAAAAATCCATTCCTTGGTAAAAATATTATAACCAAACATCCAAAAAATTAAGAGTATTCGGTTTATTTTA